CTCATAGAAAGTGGAAACTGTTGCTTTCAATGATACTTTACTTTAACAATCTATTTTCCTAACCAGTGCCCACACATGACATAGTTATAACAACTTCATGACACCGACAATATCACAGGTGACAGGTGACCCAACAGACGTCACTTGCACTAAACCAAAGATCGTACATAACAAGATACAGTCAAACCTGCCCTGACGGCCACCTCTATAAGACGGCCACCTGTACAAACGGCCACTTTCCATCCCCCCTTACGTTTTTTCTATATAATTTAACTGTGTAAAATGGGCACCTGTCCAACACGGCCGCGTCCACCATAATATTTTAACTCAGGACCCCTATCAAACAATAACACCTGTCATAGACGGCCACCTTAGTGACTCCATTATGTTTTTTCATAAATTGTGCATTGGCCCCTGTCATTGTGTGCGAGCCGTCATAATTCAATCACCTGTCGTTGTTGTTAGGTAGTCCCTCCAACCGATCATGTTGCGTAGGCCCCTCCCACTGTTGACCAATAGCTACCAATTTTCAGCTGCTGGTGAGGTTAGCGTGTGATCCCTCATAGCCCCGCCCAGAACTCATACACAAATTGTAAGTGAGATGAGTGGTCACTGTTTACCCAGTCAGTAACAAAGTAACAAAGGACGTCAACAATGAACTTGGGACAGAAGCGTCGCTCGTTCTCCGTGTGGTGGCGACCCATGTGTTTGTTTTAACATGGCACTCGGTCTTCCTCGTCGGATACATTTTGTTTTATGGTCACCCTTGTGCAAAATCAGCAACAAAATAAGAATTACAAACAAAATACAAACCAACAACAACAACAAAAACAACAATGCGGCTACTTTCGATTGGGACCTCAGCTGGGAAAGATTTGTTTTCTTCATTTTGATCAGTCCTGCCTAAGACGGCCATCTGTCTTATACGGCTACTTTTCTCCTTGACAATGGGTGGCGTCTTAAACAGGTTTGACTCTAGTTCACTCCTCTCTTTTGAGCCAATTAAAAAAGTGTCCTCAAAATCCGGTGACGCCATCTTCGAAAAAGAGTGGCGTTTGCGAACAGAATTACCCTACTGATGTGAAAAAAATGTAAAAGTGAAACTAACAAACTGTGCTATGCCTATTCTTCTTCTGGAGAAGTGAAAGACAAAGACTGCAGTGTCACCTGAACGAATGCGCGGACTTCCGCGGACACTTTTTTGGCAGAGTGAACTATCTTGTTATGTACGATCTTTGACTAAACTAATGACGTCATTGTCTCTACCATTCTGACGTCATCGTCAGTAAGATTCTGTCTGACGTCATTGGGGCTGACATTCTCAACATAAAGCTAGCGTGATGTCTCAACACATTACGCCATGGAATTCCCAGAACCACGCCATTATTTTTAAGAACCCCAACATCCGGTCCAGTACTTGAAACGACATCTTGAAAGGGTCGCATTTTCCTGGAATCTTTTTAAATTCTAATCTAGATCCAGATCTAGTTTATTTAATTTAATTTAATTCAGTTTTATTTTATGTTATTTTATTTTATTGCATTGTATGCATTGTATTGTTATTCTATTCTATTCTATTCTATTGTTTTGTATCGTTGTTTGTTTTACTTTATTGTATTGTATTTTATTTTATTGTGTTATATTGTATTGCATTGTATTTTAATCCTTTTAAAAAAAAATTATATTTCATTTTCCCTGCGTCCTGATTTGGTGCCAAACATTGACAAGTTGTGTGTAAACATCTGTCAGTGTGCCGCTTTTGGTAGCTTGTTCCGAAACACAGGCATTGCTTGAAACTTTTCTCTTTTTGGGGGGAGGGGAGGGGGTATAACTTTCAACATTACACTGATAAAGAGGAGGAGGAGGAGGAGGA